CACAATTCCTCGCATTAGTGAAGGCGCTACCGAACGATTTTAATAGCAACGTCACACCTAATATGTTTGTTGTGATTCTCCTGAACATTAAAACATCTTAAAAAGACTCTCTTAAATGTGGAGAGATAATCTATCAACAAATGGTAGATCAGCTCTATCGCAACATCGTAACGTGACACGTCTCAGCTACAGCCGCGTATGCGGGAGGTCATTGGCTAATGAACCTTTTGTCAGAGCCTCTTTACACAGTTTTTCTTACCCAGCACTCACCAACAAGCGCAACATTTTCTTATCTCATTGCAAAATGACGCTGTAAGCAGACTAGGAGCATCTGCCGATTGGATTCTGGATGTCAACAGAATCTTCAACACTGAACTTCGTTCTGTCAAATAGAAGCCTCAAACGGAACGAAACAGCACTGCAGGTCTTTGTAATATTCTCACCCCAAACTCTTCGAGGAAGCCCATCACGAAATAAAACTGTCACTAGACAATAACAGATAGATAATTCTGGTTGGTGTTAGCATCATTGTGGTGTGATGAGGAAGGTTCTCTATCTCGTTCACACCGGCCCATAGGTAAGCGTTCTTCCCGAAATCACTAGTGACCATCTGTAAGAACCGGGTTTCAACTTATAGACGGACAATGAAAAGCCGATCGCCATATACGTGGGTTTACGCTAGTCCATCCACAGGATCTTTGTTGTTACAGACATACCAATGTCATTAATTGACATAATTATACTAAAATGCCATAACTCACTCGCCGACGCAAGTCAGTGGAAGTTAGGGGAAGAAATACCAGATTATTTTTTGCGGATTATCATATTTTGGTTATGTGTTATCCCCAATCAAAATAGAACAGATGGTTGACATTTACCCACAACTGGTAAGTATCTTTAACTCCATGAAGCAACCAGAAATAAACAACGTGCAACCAGCAAAATTACATATCACGACTATAGGATTACTTGTATTTTCAAAGCATGCTGTCGAAATCCTAGGATATGAAATGGACTGGAAACGAGTCACATGAAAGATTAGGAGTTGATCCGCGTATCAAGAAACACAAAATATTACGTTAAGTTGACGTTTTTGAATGACTGGTTATTCGTTTAGCGCATTAGTTCTTATTACAAACAGCTCTGGACTTGAGTGATATTCAGGCTCGACTACCAATAGCTTATTACAATGCAACCTCCACAAAGCGCTCCAACTCTTATGTTTAACATTAGAGTCGTACTAAAGTTAGTATTCTAATGTATAAAAATGTATCCTACGTGCCGCTGCTTTATGCAACATATGGTTATTTGAAAACACACTGTTATTAAAAGTACGATCTTCTGTTCGAAGTTAACCCGGTCAAAGTATAAAGCCAAATAATTTGCAGCGACATCATTAAAATCGATGTCATCACTAACCCCTCCTTGACATTTAAACCTAAAGGTTTATCTGCAGATATATTAGGAATGAAGTACAGAAATATGAGAATAATATCAAGCTGTGTGAAAATGTATAAATATAATGCCAACAAGGAAACAGATTCACGTTCGTTTGTACGGTGCACCAGACTGAGTAGGGCTCAACACCAAAGGTATCACAGATTCTTAAACAGATCAAAGATCACCGTTAAAAACGCTCAACAGTCTAACTGTCTAAAGGAAATCACTCATACAATATACTCGCAATGTTGTCCATCCCATAAGCAAAAATATAGCGTTCCGGATCGCAGTGCAGAGATGAATAAAAAATGACACCAAGCTTCATACATCAAAAAACCTGAGAAAACGAACAGAAGCCATAATGACTCCTTGATAATTATGAACCGTAAAGACCTCTCTGGTCTTCTTTTTTTTCTCAGGACAAAAACGATAAGATGGTCTGATACGATGCAAAGAGGGGTCTCAAGTATCACAAAATAGGACCATCGAAGGTTAGAGGGCTTATTCGAGGAAAGGATAATAAACACTCGTATAATCTAAGACTCATTCGTGTATCGTCCACTGGCACTGATGTCGTCCAGGATTCCCTGACGGCCAGTCAATTCCCACAACACAAATGGGGCTGTAAAGATACTTCTTATTATACTATGTTTGAAGTGTAGTTTCATCGTAAACATCCCAGAGCAAGCTTCCTCTCCATTCATATACGGCCCTCTCAGATAATATAGGTGATGATACACACGGATTTTAGACCGAAATCATAAACGCAAAAGATTCCAGTTTACGGTATAAGACAACTGAGCTGCGTGGCCTGGGTTGTGTCGTTTGCACCCAGTTGATAAGAATATCTGATTAACAGTGACTTTTCCAAATCATATATCAAAGGCTGGCAATACATCGCATACTTTGGCTCTGTAATGACAAAAAAACTGGGATGAGCGGTAGAGCAGCTCTCTAAGAGTCCTCTTGGCTGTGCATCAAGTGTAAACAAGAGTTTACAAAACTTGATGCATCAATGTGGTTCTCGTTAAGATGGTCTAACATTTCAATATGTCCATTTTCTTATCCTATTTAGAAGACACTATGGTTACACCGAGTACGACAGTCGTATACTGGAGCTATGTTCTCCAAACTCACCAAAGGACTGGAATTATTCAAGATTTTGAAGTCAAAAACCTAGCAGAAAAACATCCTTACACTGTTATAAGGGAGGAATTCTTAATTGATAACCTATCTCCCTCTTGGTTCATATGGGAGAAACAAATGCAGTCAAAGCCTTCAATTTCACTACCAAAACTGGGTTAAGATATCCTTAAGGGGATATGCGTTAGAACTTCAGACGACTGGTTGCGTCAACTATAACGAAATTTATACAGAAAATGAACTGACAAGACCAATCTTAACTTGATAGGGGTGCTTGCTGAAATTTCTTACACAGGATCTTACGGGTTACAAAGGATTCGCTACAACAAAATGTCATTAAGAGTTTGAAGCGACCTACAGTTATGTAAAGTAGCTCACTTTCACTGCTTAAACGTGAAAAGTGATATCGAGATCGTGCCAACAGGAATACAAGTGTGGTTACCGAGCGTAACGGAACCTGTCCAAGGTCACAATCAATCGAGTAGTAATAATATGGCTGTCTTTAGCATAGTTAAACAAACGAGCACAGTTAAACAATCATTGGTACAGTTGGTTATAATAATAATTGTTCTCGTGATAAAAGTAGGTCATTACAACAGCACCTATAGGCAGTTCGAGCATGAATGGAACCCGGAAAGAGAGGGGCAATGATAAGATAGGATTCGGTATGAGACCAAGCTGATGGACGAATTTTTCTCCAACCTGAGAAACGCGTTCTGTAGAACTCTTGAGAAAACATTATTTTCAAACATTCCAACCATCATATGCAACCCGCATCGACGAGAGCCTTATCTGAAACGCACCTGGAGTTTTGGAAGTAAACATGAGCACCTCAGTGGTGTATCAGCTGTTGTAGCTTCTGATCAAGAAGACTTTTCCTGAATAATTTGTTTTGGTCTGCCATACTGAGAGAGGGACTTCAATCTTGATGACACCGTTTATTTTGATGTTCTCGAACTCCGCAACCCATGACGCCGTCACCGAAAACTGGTAGCCGGCGAACATAACACGAAAGTTCAAGGAAGTCCGGCTTAATCAAACTTTATGATACCTACCCGATACACTTATTTCCCTCAAATGTTACCAGTCCTTTAGTATGCGACGACCTTCGCGATTGTTTGTTTTCCATGAAACGGTTTTCACCCCTGCAACAACTTCTCAAGAAAATTGATTACTGCAGACACAGAGAATTCTACACGACATAAAAGTTGGGTGAATCTGAACTCACTTTCAACATTTTAAGTGTAAAGTATGTTCAACGGAGACATATTAAGAAATGAACATACAACTATGACACTTCTCAGTTGTGTCTCAAGTTGAAAATGATGTAGGTCTTAGTACGCTATGATCTGAAACCTAAGCTAAATATGACAAACACGCTTTGTGAGAACATCCTGCACTCGTTACGTGAAATGGCATCTTTGACAAGCTTGGCAGCAAGAAGTTTCATTTGACTTTCAGAAGTTCTATTCGGTTCCATTTTATTTACAAAAATAGAGAGTCGCCTAACTCCTTCAGAAAGGGAAAGAATGCACTGAAACGTATCTAAACGTGACCAATTAAATCAGTCCGACGACTGAAATTTAGACTTTACGGACAGCGCCTCGAGTCACTAGATCTTTGAGCATTAGAGCATCAGACTTATATGTAAGCTCCTGATAGTTCAAAACACAAAACATTCCTGAGCACCCTTTTAAGTATTCAATAAAGCCCAGTACCAGCATTAACCTTAAAGTCAATATCTAGAAATTACAAACAATAGCAGAAAAGACTGTAGGCACACCTATCCTCCACGGGTAATAAAACTCGGGAATCCGCTGTCGCCTGTAGACCAAGAGACTTACTAGAAGACCTTCGGAAGGAAAATTGACATATTCTTAACAGCAGTATGTCATTATAATTTTCCAGTGTTTCTCCCTGGCTAGTTTCACATAATTAGGTCCTCACCTGGAGGAATCAGTGATCTACTGCTGATGGATGCGGAAACCCCTCATTCCTATAATTCCGCCTTCTTACATCGGCTGCATTGTAATTAAGTAGTTAATTTATTTATATTTTTTAAACAATCATCTCTTCGCACTCAAATTATCACTTTATTATTTTTCACGTTGCGATTTACTAACCTCCTGCCTCGTGATGTGACAGCTTTTGGGTATCCAGAAAGCCTACTTCCCTGAGACAAGCATAATCAAACTATAAGATAAGCAAATTCACAGGTAATGTAACATACGGATTTGATTTAGTGCAGCTGAGTTGCTGACCCATCACCCATTATGCATATCCATACATATGGAACCGTACCGAGGCAACAGGAAGCGAGCACAAGGAAATCAATGGGTTCATACAAGTTCGTAACGCTGTTGAGCAAAAGCTTCTTTTAATCCGTCTAGAACCATTTAGACCATTTGGACAAATATCCTTGATATATTGAATATTGGATGTGACCGCAACAAGTTCAACACAGGCGGACTATGATTCAGACGACGGAGGATTTGTGTCGCAAACTCCAAAATCTTGATAATGAGTGGAACAAGAAAAATCACGATGTTGAAGATTGCCTAAAGAAAGTCGAAGAAATAACAGTAAGTGGTATACCTTTGTTTGACAGTATTAGTCTGGATTAACTAGATGTGCATTCCTTCCGAAAAATGAATCAGAGGCTTCTCGACGTGAGCTTCTTGTTGCCAGTATGTTGATTTTCTTGACTAGTTTATATCTTAAGGAAGTACACTGGAAATAGCAGCTATGTTGTGTTCCGAGAAACAAGATATTCCTGCTTTCGAACATTATATGTCCCAGTTAAAGTGCTACTACTATGACTATAAGTGGGTCCGTTAATGTATGTCTTATGATCTTTATTTTAGAGGAAATCTCCCAGATTCGCCTTATAAGTATGAACTTCTTGGGTTAAATCTACTGTTTTTGTTGTCGCAGCGTAGACTAGCTGATTTCCACGTTGTAAGAAGCATAATAATTGCTTACCCAGATTTAGGAATTAGAACGGCTTACGATTGAAGAAATCACTTCCAGTGTATATATCAATCACCCAGTCTCTATGGAGCAGTATTTGATGGAAGGCAACTTTCACAAGGTCTTCCTGTCCAAAGGTAACGTGCCGTCCAAGAGATACGATTTCTTCATCGATATATTTTTAAACGCAACCAGGTAAAATGTAGACACCAATTTACGTTTTTTTTAGAGAGGAAGTCGCCTCTTGTATAGAGCATGCGTATGAAACGTTGTCACTCAAAGATGCTACTCCTATGTTGTTTTTTAGCTCAAACAATGAAACAAAATTATTTGCTGAGAAGGTATGTATTTTGACACTTCTGAATATTTTTTAGAGAAAATGGAATTTAGTGGATGATACTTTTCATTTTCCAAAACATAAGAAACGGGCGGACGATGCCATCCCGTCTGCCCACGTAACACGAGTAATGCTTGACTATACGAAAGAGTTGGACCAAATAATTTGAAAAATGACAATCCAGGGTTATTACTTGTATCTATCCTTCAGAACGAATTAAATTTTGCATGTATTTTGTTAAATTATCAGTGTAACCAGTGTATCGCACTGCACTGCATGAAAGCGTATTGCAAACAAATCACACTACTCGTGTTCTGTAATTTGAGTGGCCACCTGTAGGAATTTTTATGAATAGACTCCATTCCTCCATAGTGTATAATTTTTCCAATTTCGCGAAAAGCCGGGGCCTACAGGCTAATCCTTCCGTTATGTTCATAGGTCTTCGAGATGACTATTGATCAGGCTTATTTTATTCTAATAGACTTGCGAATGGATTGATAGGGAATTTAGAGTTACTGTGACTGCACTTGACAAGTAAAATATTAGGTCTAGCGCAAATATTCTAATGATATGACGTAGTGTATATACGATCTATAAAGTCCCAGAAGAGTACGAATTATTTGAAGTGGTAATTCTGCTCACAAGCTAGCACTGAACGTTGGGTTGAAAAATTGCTTCTAGTGATGAAATTCATAGTAATAAGTTATTAATAGTCCCACTCATTTAGGAAGTCCATATTTATGTAATTAGTGTTGAGTCACACGAGGTGGGTGATAATGCCTAGCTGACGAAATTGGTAGTGCGGGGTTTTAACCTAAAATAAGGATTAAGAGTATAGAAGCAGTACATGCCTCGGTGTGCTGTTTCAAAAGGAAATGACACATTTGCGACCTGAAGTTTCTCAACAGAGATTATCCCTTGTGCAATAGCTGTATTACAGGAGTTTCTTTTGCCAATGACCCAAGATTGCTACCAGGAAGATCGGTATTTATATCATGATAGCCCCCAAAGTCTTCGGTTACACGCTACTTTGTTACTTGCGATGAAAATTCTTCAGCGTGTAGCATTACCTCAAGCTTACTTTGAACAGTGATCTTCATGAGTGATTAAATCAGTTGTAGATTTTTGTTCGTCTTTCCAAATGTGGGAAACATCGTTTAAATTAAGGAGTATTCCGGATATTCAATATAATGCTTTGAAAGTAGTTATTTTTCTCAGTCCTTATTGAGTCAGTGTGGTTGTTTTGAGTCATTCGTAGAAGTGTTCGCGAATTTCCCATATCGACTGTTTACACCAAAGTTAGTACGGAAGTCAAGCACTCTTTGACTAATTTAATTGTAGAGAAACGTCATCCACTTTTTGTATGTCTTTTATTCACTAGAATGGATGATGAAAGTCAAACGAAAATAAGTTGGGACTTAAAGTTAATATTTATCTGTCTAAGTTTTCCCACAGAACAGCGGAAATCAACAAGGATAAGCATAAGCAATGAGAATGGGGAAAGCCGAAAGAACAAATAACGAGAGATGAGTTTATCGAATTAAATGATATTCTAGCGTTAGAGGATATATCTTTACCATTGTATTCATTTTGAAGAATTATCTAAAGTTTCCTACCATTGGTCTAAGTTGTCTGTAACCCTAGTTGGAAACCCTGTACCTTCTTACATGGCTGTAGTGATGAGTCACTGACGTCATGGATTGATGACATAATGGTCATTCTTGCACCTTTTCCGTTTAAATAACTGGTTAATTTGTATTTCTTTAACTACATGTAACATCAAGCTTATTGAATAATCGTAATCGAAATAGTATACTCAAATTCTGGGCAGGAAACACGGATTATTATTACTCTGCATTAATCTTTGTTAATCTGGTCTAATTACATATTAACATGTATAAACTTTTAGCGAGCGCCTACGTGAGTTTATCCTGTACACATATATTCCTGCTTCTGTCTGGGCACCCGGGCAGTATCAAAGCCCACACACAAATATGATGAACTGCCTATAATTATGGAAAGTACTTTACTTGCTTCAATTAACAATCAAATTATTATTATTATTATTATTATTATTATTATTATTATTATTATTATTATTATTATTATTTACCACATTATTCACCCTCTTTTATACTTACATAGCGGCTCGTCTTTGGTGGAAATTCGACTGTATCTAAGCGTTCTCGAGTCACTGTCTGGTTGGAAATTGTATGTTACCACTGAATATGAGTATTAAAGCAGTTTTTCTGAAACCACGTGCACCATTCAAACTGGCTGCCTTCAACGTTCGCACACTTATACAGGTTGAACAACAGATAGGGCTGGCTATGTCTTTGGAAAGTCTTAATATCGATATCTGCTGTCTATCCGAGACCCGTATTCAAGACTCTGGTGAAGTACTACAAATTCGATCTCCATCTGTCGCTTCGAAAAGCTTGTTTTACGTGCGCTTATCCGGGGACCCTGTGGCATCTTCGTCTGGTCTTGCTGGCGTTGGTGTCGCACTAAGCGCTAGAGCTGAGGCAGCACTAGTCGATTGGATCCCCATTAACAGTCGGTTATGTGCTGTTAGATTAGAAAGTTCCATCAAAGTGAGAAGAAATCGGTGTGAGAAACGATGTCTTTTCGTCATCTCCGCCTATGCCCCGACAGATTGCAGCCCGGATGCAATCAAGGATGAGTTTTACCACCAGTTATCTGTTCTTCTCCAGAGAGTGCGTTCGACAGATATTGTAGTACTAGCCGGAGACTTGAATGCTCAGGTCGGGCGTCTAGGCACAGAAGAGAGTCGTTTAGGTGGCCGATGGGGACTCGTTGGTCGCAGGTCAGATAACGGGGACCGTCTACTGCAACTGCACAGACCACAACCTGTTTCTGGCTAGCACTAACTTTCGGCACAATCATCGCCGATGTGCCTCCTGGCGTCCTCCCTCTGCATCCCAAGCCTGGACTCAGATTGATCACATCGCGATCAGCTACCGCTGGCGTGGTTGTATACAAGACTGCCGCTCCTTTTGGAGTACCTATCCGGACTCTGACCATGCCTTGGTCTGCGCCAATCTTACTTTACTTTTCAGTGGCTAATTGAGTGATCGTCACCAAAGGATTGATGTTAGCAAGTTGGTTGCAACTTCTGTTGCTAGTAAGTATCGAACCGAGCTAGTTTCTAGGCTAGCTACCATTCCTCCGAAAAGTATAGATGAGCATTGGTTGCAATTACACGACGCCATGAAAATGGCGGGTACAGTCAGTTGTGGGTTCGCGAAACGTCCCGCTTATAAGCACTGGGTTTCTTCAGGCTCCTTACAACTCATTGAAGCCCGTCGGTCTACTCCGGGTGACCGTGAGTTTGACCACAAACGAAGGATGTTACGTAAGGAAATTGGGCAAAGCTTGCGTAAGGACCGAGAAGCCTGGTGGTCGAAGCGTACTAATGAGCTGGAAGCAGCAGCTGCATCTGGTAATTACCGGAAGCTCTTCCAACTCATCCGAGCCACTAGCAGCAAGAAGTCTGGTGTGAGCGAAACAATCTGTGAGGATGACGGGATGCCAATCACTAACATCCATCGACGTCTTGGACGATAGGCAGAATTTTTCGAAGGGCAGTTCAACTGGCCTGCTGCTCCGGCAACATAGGTCAGACTGTCCTGCCCTCCATGGCCGGTGACGACTGATCCACCAAATGAGGCGGAAGTTCGCAAGGAACTCCAACTCTTGAAGCGTTACAAATCACCTGGCCCAGATGACTTACCTCCGGCTCTTTTTAAAGATGGTGGTAACTTTCTGACTAAGGAATTGACGACGTTGTTTACAAAGGTTTGGGGACTAGAGCGTGTACCAACGTCATGGAATGAGTCGATAGTTGTCTCTATCTTTAAGAAGGGTTCACGTCGTTCCTGTAACAACTATCGGGCGATAAGTCTTCTTCCCATTGCGTCCAAGCTATTGGCTTCCGTCATACTTCTTGTGTTGTTCAAAACCCGAGAAAGATTGACTCGCGAGGAGCAGGCTGGGTTTCGTTCTGGTCGAGGATGTATTGATCATATCTTCACCCTCCGCCAAATTTTAGAACACCAACATCCTAAAAGCCCTGTACAAAAACACCTCAGGCAGAGTGAGGGCATACAACCACCTCTCTCCATTGTTCCATTCGAGCAGTGGGGTTAGGCAGGGTTGCCCAGTCTCACCATTCATCTTCAACTTTGCCATCGATGACATTCTGGAAACAGCTCTGATGAATGTAAGTAATGGTGGTGTGGATCTGTTGCCTGGAGAAAGACTTCTCGACCTTGAGTATGCGGACGATATTGTCTTACTGTGTGATAATCCCCAAGACATGCAATTCGCGCCTAATCAGTTAGCAATCAGTGTCCGTAGGTATGGTATGTGCTTTGAACCTTCGAACTGCAAAGTACTTCGACAAGATTGGCAGGATTCTAATCCTGTACTCACCCTGGATGGTGAGCAGATAGAAGTTGTCGAAAAGTTAGTGTATCTGGGTAGCTGCATAAGTGCTGGTGGGAGTGTGAGTGATGAGATCGATTCACGTATCGTGAAAGCCAGAGCGGCTTATGCCAATTTAAGCCACCTTTGGCGCCTTCGTGATGGTAGTCTGGCTGTAAAAGGTCGGATTTACAACGCGTCGGTGAGAGCAGTTTTGCTCTATGCTTGTGAAACCTGGCCTCTCTGAGTTGAGGATGTCAGACGACTCTGTGTTCGATCATCGCTGTCTCCGAAGGATTGCTGACATCCAGTGGCAACACCATGTCAGTAATGCAGAGGTTCGGCATCGTGTGTTCGGGCGCAGAGACGATAATGCAATCGATGCCACCATCTTGAGACACCGACTTCGGTGGCTTGTACATGTTCTACGAATGTCGTCCCAGAGAATTGCACGTCGTGCATTATTTGCCGACTCGGACTGGTTGGAAGAAGCGGAGAGGTGGTCAGTGCATGACATGGTGTCGTGGTATGAAAGAAAGCTGCAAAGGACTGGCTTGTGTTGGTCCTTCACGACTCCCTGGCTGGGGTCCGAGAGATGGTGCTACACAGTGGCTAGAGACGTTATCAGATATGGCTCAGAATAGAAGCCAGTGGCGATCCTGCTGTAACCTTCTTTTACTTGTTTCATAAAAAGTGGTTGTGTCTCCCTTAACTGAAAGATTTCTTCTGATTGTACCTTTCCGTTCCCTCATTATTACTACACTACCTTACACCAATCTCTTCGTTGCTGTTCTCTTTTTTTACGCTCCTTACCTTTTTTTCTCTTCGAATTCTCATTGTTTTGTGTGGCGCATATATATTGGCACTCTCGTGTACCAATATTTATGTGTTCAAATAAATAAATAAGCACACATACATTTGTACT